CTGATATGCGGTCAGTTCTCTTGATTTTTTTAACAGTCAATTGGAGACTTGATGAATGGGTTAGACCGGAACAACTTGACCTTGATTCAGTAGAAAATGATGTAGATGAAAAGGTGGAAGACAAGGTAAAATATCTGTACTTTGTTCCGGTTTCTGATGTGTCTTTTGGTATTAATTCATTGTGGTGAAGTACAAAAGTGATTGCATGATTCTCTTCTCTCGGCATTGATGTTTAGGTTACAGGTTTGAAAATGACACGCCACCAGAAACGTAAGATTAATGAGACTCATGTTGAGGTTTGTGTTACCATCTTATATCTTTCCATCTTTGTTGTTACTGCTCAATTATAGTCATGTTCATCATCTTGTAGTTGTATATTCTTGCTTCGTGTGCATACTGGAGGTTAAAGAAGTTGATTGATTGCTTATGGATTGCTATGACTTTGGAGTTGTTGAAATTTTTGGGTTTTTCTAATGTTGATTAGAATGATGAGTACAAAATTGTATATTACTAAAGTTTTCCATGGTCTAAGGTTTTATCTGCATATTAGTCCAACGAATTCTAATTTTGCATTTATGATGGCCACAACTATAATCCGTTAATGAAGTGAGCCTCTCTATCCCCATTTGATTGGAAGGTACGAGATTGAAACATGGTACTTCTCCCCCTTCCCACCAGAATACAGTGACTCCCCGAATCTATACTTTTGTGAGTTTTGTATGAATTTCATGAAGCGCAAAGAACAACTTCAGAGACATATGGTGAATGTTACAATTTCTTCTATTTTTTAATTGTGAATATATAAGGGGTCGTTTACCTAAATGCTTACCCAGTAAGTGCTTACTGTTAGGAGCCAACATTATAATTTATTTTACCGGATAAGATTGTAGTACATCAAAATGGTATCGTAATGCAACAATTTACCCGGTAATCACTTACCCGGGTAAGAGTCATCACCCTCACTTACCAAGTAAGGGGCCGTTTACCAAACACTTACCCGGTAAGTGCTTACCGGCAAAAAATAACACTATCATTTACTTACCAGGTAAGATTTTAGTCCATCAAAACGGCATCGTATATTCATATGCAATAATTTAACCGGTAAGCAATTACCGTTTTAAGAGTCTTTCCCTCACTTACCGGGTAAGACTCTTGGTCCTTGTCTTGCTCTTACCGGATAAGATTCTTGGTCTTTACCATATTAATCCGATAATGTAATGTGATTTAGTAAGCGCTAACTCGGGTAAGCATTTGGTAAACGACCCCTAAATCATGATATGCCATGTTTGTGAAGGAAAGAGTGTTTGGTAATAACAAATTTGACCATAAAGTTCTAAAATTACTAAGGTGTAAATGTCACATGAAATGGAGTTGTATTATTTGATCTTTGTAATGCAACCTATGGCTATTGGCTCTTCTTTAACCATCTTATTCTGTCATAATGTCTTGGAAAGTTTCTTAGTTTTCCAATAATATGCAAATAGGGTATGGCACCCCTATGTTTCTTTGTTCCTTTGGTGCATCTTACGTCTCCCTTGCAATGGTGCATCTTACGTCTCCCTTGCAATGGTTTTCTTAACAGATGGGAGAGAAATTCCCACATACCATATAAGGAGTCAAAATTGGCCATGCTTCTTCAATATTCCTTAAGTGGTCATAGAAGAGTATTCGTAAGTCTTATATCTGAGTTTCAATTTATCTAAAAAGCATGTCCCGTCATCTGACCATAAAATTCATTGAGAAAGTATTATTTGCCCTTCTATTGGTGGTATGAAGGTATTCTATTATTCATCCAGTTCTTTTGTATTT